GAAGGTCGGGTGAAGGTTGGGGGAAGGTCGGTGATATGTTTATGTGAAGGGAAGGTCGGGTGAAGGTTGGGGGAAGGTCGGTGATAGGTTTATGTGAAGGGAAGGTCGGGTGAAGGTTGGGGGAAGGTCGGTGATAGGTTTAGGTAAAGGTCGATCAAAAGGTCGTTTCTAAGCGTGCGCAAGGGTCAGGTGAAGGGTATATGAAGGGCGGGTTGAGGCTGTGTAAAGATCGCGTGAAGGTTATATGAAGGTCGAGTGAATGTTATTTGAAGATCAGGTAAAGCTTATGTGGAGGTCGGTTGATGGTTATATCAAGGACCGTTGAAAGTCATGTGAAGGTCGGGTTGAGGTAATGTGAATATTTTGAAGGTTATATGAAGGGCGAGCTGAGGTAACCTAAAGGTCGGGTAAAGATAATATCAAAGACGGTTGAAGGTCACTTGAAGATTAGGTGTAGGTTATATGAAGGTCGGGTGAGGGTTGCAGTATATGTCCGTATTGATGGTTAGGACTTAAAATGGCGATGAGCCCTCGAGGTATCTGCATCGGGGCGGTACCGTTTACTACCTCTTCACATCGTGTTACATCACATCACATCGTGTTACATCACATCACATCGTGTCACATCACATCACATCACATCGTGTCACATCACATCACATCGTGTCACAGCACATCACATCACATCGTGTCACATCACATCACATCGTGTCACATCACATCACATCGTGTCACATCACATCACATCGTGTCACATCACATCACATCGTGTCACATCACAACACATCACATCGTGTCACATCACATCACATCGTGTCACAGCTCCCCGCAGTGCTAGAACGCGCGCGATCTACCGGTGTCAAAACTAATCTACGACCTGATCGTGTTATTGTCGTCGTAATTCAATTAACCGCCCAAGAAACCCGTTTATTACGTAAGCCAAGGCGTCTGTGTTTTGCGTGTCTGCACGCGTATAATATAGAGTATATATATATATATTATATATAATATATATCTTGGTCGCTCTCTCTCTCTCTCTCTCTCTCCTCTCTCTCTCTTCTATCTCTCTCTCTCTCTCTCTCTCTCTGCTCTGCTCTTCTCTCCTCTCTCTCTCTCTTTCTCTCTCTCTCTCGTAGATATATAATATGTATATATATATATATATATATCATATATATATAATATATATTATCAGTAGTATATATATATTTATATATATATAATAATATAGACGAGAGCAGCAAGAGATAGCATGAGATAGCGATAGATAGATAGATAGATAGCATAGATAGCATAGATAGATAGAGTAAGAATAGCATTAGATAGATAGATAGATAGATAGATAGATAGATAGGCATAGATAGATAGATAGATAGATAAATAGATAGAATACGATAGATAGATAGATAGATAGATAGCATAGATAGATAGATAGATAGATAGAAGATAGATAGATAGATAGATAGCCATAGATAGAGAGCATAGATAGATAGATAGATAGATAGATTGATAGATAGATAGCATAGATAGCATAGATTAGATAGATAGATTAGATAGCATAGCCTATAGATAGATAGACAGCACAGCTACGCTAGCCTATAAAATAGATAGATAGAAGATAGATAGATAGATCAGATTAATAGATACACCAAGAGCCCTAATTAAACACCTATAACGGTATTTATTGAGCTCTGATCGACAATACCATACATACATACATACATAGCATACATACATACATACATACATAGCTACATAGCATACATACAGTACATAGCAACATACATACACTACATACGATACATACATACAGACATACATGCATACATACATACATACAACATACATACAGTACATAGCATACATACATTACATACATACATACAACATACATACATACATACATACTACATACATACATACCATAGCATAACATACATACATAACAGTACATACAACATACATAGCATACATACATACAGTTACATACATACATACATACATACATACATACATACATACATACCATACAGACATACATACATACATACAGACATGACAGAACAGACAGACGAACAGACAGACAGACAGACAGACAGACAGACAGACAGGACAGACAGATAGACGACGAGACAGACAGACAGCAGACAACAGACAGACAGACAGACACGACATACAAGACAAGACATACAGACAGACAGATAGCTCTCCCGCCACCTATGCCAGCTCGCCATGCCGTCGCCAGCGTAGCCGACGACACACTCGCCAGTACGTATCCGGCCGACGAGTTACGCAGACGGCGCTTCTTATGGCCACGTGTTCGATCCGTCGATACATTCATTCACGTCTGCCGCAGAGAAAGTATGAAACGCCACCGTTAGTTATTACGTTAGTTATTAATTAGTTGTAAGGCTTAATTAGTTATAATAGTAGTGTGTAATAGATCAGTTGCGACCGCCTTACGCGCCAACGCAAACATAGCGGTAACGCAAACAAAAGTATAGATATAGCGTAAAGTATAGGCGTATACTTTCTTTTCGCAAACATCAGGTTACTGTTGAATGGTTGTTGTTGGCTGCTGATGCATGATGCTGATAATAATAACTAATAATAATTAATAATAATAATAATAATAAGGTATAACAATATTGTATTTATAATAATAATAATAATTCATTATATTATTATAACTACTCACAGTTAAATATGTATAATCGTTATTAATATTGTAACTTCATAGCCAAACGCGGTAATGCATGCGCATGATGGAGCATGTATGGAGATTGGGAGTGGAGATGGACGTGCGCATGGAGGAGCATGTGTGCTATTTGAGCATCGCCTGGGAGGGTGAGTGACCTCACAATCCAACATTCATCTAGAGCCACGCTAACCAGCTAAGCCTCACGTAAAACACGGCGCCGACTCGCAAGCCCGTGACTACACCGATGCTCACAGCTACCCACGATCAACGTGGAGGCGCCACCGACGGCTCGTACATTGGACTAGCCTCGCGCGCGGGCGGGCGTTGTTGCTATGCGACGACACGTACCCGGTCGCAGACGTAGACGCTCGCCGGTGAAAGCCTTCGAGACATAAGCAGCGCCGCAAGCTGCCGTCCGTGTTCTCACAATCGGCGTTCCCTGAGCAGCTGCTCTTCGCCATTCTAGCACACTCGGTCATATCTGCCGAAAACAAGAGTGCGGATTGCCGATGATGCGATGATTCTAGTGGGAAAACACAATGATATCTAACCGTTCAGTATTCTAAGCGTTGCATGAGTTTTACATGACGGATTATTTTTTGCATTATTTGGATTGCTATTGAGGATAAATATCGTTAGGATACTATATATATATATCAAAAGGATATATATATAAATTCTATAACATGATACATTACGACTTCGACTCTGTTTATCTATCGGAATCTAATCACTCCTGCATTGCTATTTCAGCACAGTCCGTCCGTATCCGAAGTACGGCATGTATCGTATAGATTCTACGTTGCGTCTGCTACGATACATTCCCGTACGCCGTGCGCCTCGCCATCCGTCGTCGCACCGTGCCCCATAGGAAGCGTGCCGACGTCGTTGGTTGCCATCGCGCCGACTGTGCACAGTTGCGGCTCGCCTCGCCAGCACTCGTCAAATCGTGCTATCAGCCAGCAGACAGACCCACATATGTACAGCAGGCCACACAGATGTACATAACATACACACAGATGTACATTAGATTCTCTGCAGCGATGCAGGGTGTGTAGCCTGCCCAAGTATAGTGGCGTCCATGAACATTACGTGACGTAACTATAATTTAGTATCATGGCCCTCCACACGTTGCTTATATGCGATACTATGCTGCGCATATATCACCAATCATAAATGACCTAGACAACGCTTATTAAAGATATTCCTGAGTAGTATATATATATATTATAATATATATATAATATATATAATATATATAATATACTATATATATATATGATATATAGTTTAGGAGACATTTTAAATGCTTTGCTCGTGGTTGTTGTGTCGTAAGCCTATCTTCATGTACCCGTTGCAGTGGCTTTACCTGCGCAGTTGGCGGGTCCCGTCTCCCTCATAGCCGTCTATGCATTCACACGCTACGAACACATCCGTATTGCTGCACCTCGCGTTGTCATGGCAACTGTTTGTCCGCGTCGTTCGCGCACTCTCGACGGTCTGCAAGAAGGTAACGCGAAGCTCACTTCCGGCAATACACGGGTGATTCGCATCTCACGTGCATAATAGCAGACGCGCCAGCACACGTCCGTCGGATGATAATCCAACTCTGATCGTAATGCAGACGGGCGGCGACTATTGTGCCTAAACTAAACTTAGTTTACGCGTACTGTAACGTTAATAGTTAACTCCGCATCTCCGAACTAAACCACGTATTCATATTAGCCACGATGATCCGTAAAACATCACGCCGTTGAAAATGGCGCCGAACCGCCATTGTGAGCATGCTAGTACGCGGCGACCCGCAGAGAGTGTCGTTCGTTAAGCCATGCCACCTCCGTCAACGCAATCCACTCACCCAAACAAG